GGAACTGTTGTTGATGAAATGAAGGGAGCTTCAAAGTGCTTTTATTCTAGCAGGATTTATGACACTACATGGGTTTTAGTTTTCACTTCACCTCCTCATCCAAGAATACATCCTGGCACCCTGCTCTGCTTTGTTCTCTTCAGGCATCGTGTTCTCCTGCTCACAGAGAGACTCCTCCATGCCTGCACTTCTGCTTTGCTCAGTATTCGGTTCTGGTCTGAATTGCTTTAAGACCCAAAGAAGTGTAAAACATTCAAATTGAAGTTGTAAACTTGCAAACTCCTTGGTCTAAAGTTATTCTTTATTAGCTTGTCAAGCTTGGAGATAGGTTTGTTTGTTTGAGAGAAGTTATTCAAGAAACATGGGGAAAACTCACTGTTCATTAGCCAGCCCTCTTGAGGTTTCCTGGATTTTTGCTTTCTGGTAGGGACATATGTGCGCTTAAACGCAGTCATTCTATTGTATATGTGCAAATGCTTTCGCTCAGAATTTAGGAATTTACTCATGAAATAGAGGGAATAAAAACTGACCTTCAGTACTGGAGAACACTGGGTGATGGCAGAAATTGCAGCAGCACTATGAAATTCAAAATCAGGAGGCTCCTGCTGTTTCTCTTCACTTTTTCCCTCTTGCCTTGTAATCACTAGATCATTCGACACCAGCCAGCCAGTCTCCTCACTCCTCCAACCCCAGCAGCTTGCCAAGCTCCCCTCCAACCCATAACCACAATTCTGTTCCCTTCTCCAACTTCGGACCTATTGGGACTCCAGACAACAGAGACAGGAGAATCGCAGACCGCTGGAAAACAGATAAGCCAGGCAAGTGCTGTGTTCCAGGCCTGGACGAAGCCAGATGTTGACGTTTGTTTTTGAAATGGTTTTGCTAGATTCCTCTGAATTTGTCTCTCTTCCCCATTTTAGCAATGGGAGGGTTTGGTCTGGACTATCTCCCAGCAACATCATCATCCTCAGAGAGCAGCTGGCACCAGCCCAGCACTCCCAGTGGCACCTGGGCAGCCCAAGGCCCTGCCATAGAGGACTCCTCAGCTGTGCTCATGGAGAGTCTGAAGGTATAGTTAACTATAAAGCTTATAACTATAAAGCTGTGCTTGGGAACAGGCACTTGCCTATGGGGCCAGGGTCTGGTGGCTGTAGGCAGCTCACGCTGCTGTTCCAGGCGTCGGGGTTCAGGGTCAAACCTTGAAGGCTTTTCCTGCAGACTTGCTTATGTAGGCAATGTGGGAGGCATGACCAGTTCTGGAAGATGTCACAGTTTTTTGGTTCTTGCTGTTCTAGAATATTTCATGGAACAAGACCAGGCTGGCAGAACTGGAAGAAATTATAACATTTGCTTTGACAGGTCTAAAATTAGTAATTGTGAATGTGGGATATATTTATATGGTAATGAGGATTCTGGTGGGGAGGGTAAGCTGCTTCAAGGGGAGCTCCCTTTAGAAGGCCACCTTTCGAAGTCTGACTTTCATGATAAGACAGGTATGAGTGATGAAGGGAAGAGGGGAAAATAAAGTCTTCTCATCCATAAGAAAACAAGGAGGTGCTAGTGTTGACTGTTTGCTTTTAGTCCATCTGGTCCAGTTCCATGATGCACCCAGGACCCTCAGCCCTGGAGCAGCTGTTAATGCAGCAGAAGCAGAAACAGCAACGTGGACAAGGCACCATGAACCCGCCGCATTGAGAACGAGGTGGCAACCCGTGCAAACAAAGGCTCCATAAACCATGGCATGTTGGGTTTGCAGGACTGGCCCACACAGTCCTGTGCAGGTGGCAGCCCTCTCTTCTGTTCCTCGCTGTCAGGAGGGCGTAAGTGCTCCACCAACCCACTGAGTGTGCACAAAACGTCTGCAGTGCAAGAAAACAACATCAGGAACTCTCCCATCCCTGGGCCCTCCGAAGGGAGAGAGGAACTGCTGTTTGTCTCACTCAGTAACCCGATATCACCGCCTCTCACCTTCTCCATCGTGCATGTCCCCAGCCACATGGGAAGTAAAAGCTGAGAACGAAGGGCAGATGGGAGAAGCCAATGAGAACTTCTCAAACCTTTTCCTCTCTTTGGGGAGATAAAATAGGAATCCATTAATGATTGCTTCGCTGACTGAGAATGTAGTTGAAATTACTCCTAAACATCTTTATGACTATCTCAGTAGTAAGATCACACTGAATTCTTCCATACAGAGACATGCTTTGTAGTCAGTGTAGAGCAACGGAAGCCCCAGTTGCTGCTCTGGTCAGAGGAGGTTGGTGGCAAGGTGGGCTTTATCTCCTGGGCTACTGAAGGAGTTTCATGAAGGAGAATCTGGCACTTGACACCACTTCCTTTCACTCAAAGGCTTTAGCCAGCCTGTGGGTGGGTTAGAGACTCCAGCATGAAATGCCCTCCTCTCCGTAGGTGTTTGAGCTATTATCAGTGATGTGGGGCATTGCAGCACCCTGCTGGACAAGCAAGTTTAACTGCTATGGGGTTTTAAATTAATGTTTGATTCCTGTACATTTTACTGTAGCATAGTGGCTAGCCCCACAAAGGGCAGGCTAGTCTGTGCATTCACAGCCTGACTCATTTTAATAGGTAGGTAGAAAGCTTTCAATGTTTTTTTTTTTTTTTTTTTTCTTTTCCCCATTCTCCCATTTTCGCTGGATGCTAGTAGTTTTATTGCCAATGTGCAACATCTTGCAGAAAGTAATCAGGGGTCCAGCAGGACTGGGTAAAGATGACAGTCAGCCTGGACAATGTGGAGTGTATGAGCCCCCATAGGCACACACCAGCTCTGCAGAAACCCGTCCCCTGCCCTCCCAGCTGCAGCCCCCAGGCTTTCAGTTCTAGAAAGGAATCTGAGGCACCGTGGACACACATGTGCAACCCACATGTGGAAGAAAGCATAGTGCTGTTCACATGTGAAAAGGTGCAGAAGGGAAAGAAAAATGTTTTATTTGCTATTTATTAGGGGGAAGGAAGACTGGAAACTTCATTAAAGGAAAGGACAGCGTTTTTGTTAGGCTTCCCAGGGAAGTTATGGAAACAATCTCAATGTCCATTTGCTGTGTTTAGCAGTAGGGGTTTGTGTGATGGTTCAGGATCTCTGAGCTGGAAGTCAGCTGCAGAGCAAAGCACATGCAGGAGCCTAAGTGACACTGGAGTCTGGGCAGCCCCGACAGAATACAAAAAGGGAAGACGGAGACCCAATACCCGTCCGAGGGTATGAGCAGCTCCCCCACGTTCTCCACGTTAGCAACATCACTGTTCTTTGTTGCATTTTGAAGATGTATTTCCTTTAACAAGTCCAAAAAGTGAAGTTCCCACCCAGTGCTAATATGAACCAAACCCCTCTGTACCTATCCCCAGCCCTTTCCGTTTGTGTATTGAGCTGTGCGCCCCGGCAGCTGCGACATTCCAGTGTTTGAACTGTCACTGACTCTTGCACCCTAAACGAGCTAACCAGGTTCACCATCTCACTCCCGGCCGTGCCAGGGTCCCAGCCGCACCGCTCCACTTGTGCATGAGTATCCGGTGTCAGGAACGCGTCTGACGCTCGGCTGGGACTCCCCTCCTGTCTTCCGGAGTCCAGGGGAGCGAGGGAAGGGGCCCCCAACAGAAACTGGTTTGTGTCGTAAGCTTTTTTTGTGTTTTTTGTCTGTCTGTGCAAGAACTGCAGCTGCTGAAATCAGCTTTGCCTTTAATTAAACCATGTTCTCTCCATCCAGGTCTGTGTGTAGCATTTATTTCCTGTGTAACTCAGCAGGCTTTCAAAAATGCATTATTTCTCTGGATAAGTCAGATGAAGGTTTGGAGTTGATTTTCTTTTTTTTTTTTTTTTCCCTGAAAGAGAACTAAATAAATCACGGATTCTGGCTTGGTCTCAGTGCAGATAATCGGATTGTGGTTTTGTGCTGCCTGTGTACAATATGTTTTTATGTGCTGAATCATAAATCTGGGCTGGGAGTAGCTTACAAAGCTCTGTCACTTGCAGGCTGGATTACCTGAATCTGGTAGAGCACAGGCACCAGGAGGTGGAGGACGTGGATCCTTCTGCTGTTGACCTGCCTGTAAATCAGGATGGCACTTGCACTTGTTGGCTGTTTACAGCTAGTTTCTAAACAGCATGCTTCCAGACACGTCAAAGGGAGGTTAAGAAAGCTGTAGAGCTGCTCCATTTTTGAGAGGTCAGGTGTTTGTTTTATCCATGCAACACTCCAGAATGAGTTCCTTTTCAATTTAAATGTGAGATGCAAGTCAATGGGAGGGTGGAGTTGGTACAGAACCTGAGCGATAGGATGAGAACTGGGGAAACCTCCCTGAAGCACAGGGCTTGTGGTGCTGTGGAGGGCTTGCTGTGCCTACAGCTCTCACATTCTGAGGACAGGGCAGCATAGCTATTTTTAAAATGCCAGAAGGACCAGCTGTCAGCAGCCAGGGAAGGTTAAATACGGTGAAAGCAGAGCCATGGCACCCAATGGCAGAAGGGGGACAAACCTGTTTAAAACCTGTTTAATTTGGATATGGAAGAAGTTATGGAAGTTACAGTTATGCAGACTAATGTGTAGGGAGCAACTTTACTACCAGGTGACCTGCTGAGATTTGTGGCAGTGTCATCTTAAATTACTGTCTCATGTGACTGCTGAGGAAAAGCTCTCAGAAACGACCCCTAGAGCTGAAAATGTGTATGTGTGTGAAGAGTTGTCAGTAGAGCAGGGCAAGGCTGTGCAGTGACTTTTGATTAAGCTCTTGCAGTGAGCAATAATTTTTGAAGGAAGTAAATTCTGTTCAAGCACAGCCTTTCATGGTCCATAGCTTCTCAAGGAGCAGCTCCCCAGGTCAGTGGGCCTGTAAAAGCAACTGGCACCACCCTGCCATGGATTTTCCCAGGCAAAGGGCTGGTTGGTGGGGCAGAGCTGGTGCTGCAGAGTCTGCTGGTGAGCACAGCCTTAGCACTGCATGTATCCCTAGCAGGAAGATAACTACCCGCTTCAGACAGAGCAATACAAAAGTTAAAACAAAAATAAAGCTTTTAATATATGTAGCAATAATATTTTCAGTCCATTTTCAGATGCAGTGATTAATGTGGAAACTTAATTGCAACAGTTGAATTCTTAATTTTCTTTGGTGTCCAAGACTCCTTTAGCTCTTTAGAAATCAGATTTCTGGGTCTTTAGTGTTACAATCTTGAACGAAAGCAGATGGGAAGATGCCTATCTTCCCGTTGCACTGGCCTTCTAACCAGTCTTCGTTCACTGGAAGATAAAATTTGCACGATTTTTGTCACTCCAGGGATGTGCAGGAGCACGATAATAACATACCTTTGTGTGCTGCAGACAGGCCTTAGTTCACCATTTTAAGAAAAAATAGCCACCTGCGAGCCTGATAGAGAGGTGACTGTGGAAACAGGGAGAAGGTCTGAGGAAGAAAGGCAGACAGCAAGCTCTAGAGATAAGAATCACAGAATCATTAAGTTTGGAAGAAACCTTCAAGATCATCTGTTCCAAACACCCCCCTACCACCAATGTCACCCACTAAATCACATCCCTGGCACAACTTGAGGCCATTCCCTCTAGTCCTATCACCAGCTATCTGTGAGAAGACTGCCAGCTCCCCCCGCCTTCCTTTCAGGGAGTTGTACAGAGCAATACACTACTGAACAAAGTGGGAAAATAGATCAATATAGAAGTTGTTTTTTTTTTTTTTGAGATATAGCAGCTAAGTTTCCGAAAAGATAAAACTATGTTCCTGGAAATGTTGCAAGTTTTTTCTGTTGAGAAACCATGCAATTTATGTAGGCAAATAAGCCTGTAAGTATTAAAGACTTTGTATCACTGCATTTCCTCACTCTCTGCCTGCATTCACATGAATTACAACCACAATAAAGTATGTAGTGGTTTTATTTGCTGAACATCCAACTTTTAATCTAAAACTATCAGCAGCAGCAGGCAGGGACAGGCAGGTTGTATTTCTGCTAAGAATTTGAGAATTGGGGTCTTAAAGCCAGATGTGGGCTCAGAAATTGCCTTGAATAACAGCAGAAACAAGATGAGAGTGCAGAAGTGATTAGAGATCTGGGACTGCCTCCTTCAAGATAAGAACTAAAGCATAGTTTCATCTGCTGTTCCACATTCATCTCAAACAAAAAGATTCTGCTACCCCAGGGTGATTAAAGCTGGGAGCTCTGAAAACTCTTGCTGTCAGAAACCCAACAAGGGAAAAAACTTAATGGGAAATAGTATAGCTAGCTCAGTGATGACTTCCCCCTCTTCATGACACTACTTCATCAGTGTTGCAACGTGTAAAACTTCATCTGTGCAACTGGAGGAGGAACTAGTGTACAGCTGCCTAACTCTGCTCCACAACTTAGTGGTAGTGCTGTGTGTAGCAAGGTATCATAATTTTGTGGTGGTGGTTTTTTTTTTTTTTTTTTTTTTTTTTTTTTTTTTTTTTTTTCCCTCATTTAAAACCATTTCTGCTGTCATGGCTTTATTCAGAGGCTCAGGGGAGGAAGAAACAGTTGCCCTGTGCAAGCAGCTCTCTCTGTAGCTAATTCTTCACTCAAGCTGGGCTCACCTGCAGCCTTTGCTACAGCACAGCCAGCTTGTCCTCCCTGCTTGGCTGTTGGGCATAAGTGAGAGGATCAAAGTCAAAAATGTGGACTGGCTCTTGCTGAGATTCCTGGCTTGTATTTAAACACCAGTTCTCATGCAATCACCAAAGAAGACTGAGGCTAACTTAAGAATCCAAGCAGCCTGTTTTCCATCTGAAGGTGGCAAACTGCAATTTGCAGGAGAAGCAGCCTCCTCTTGGTGCAGGCTGCCTGAGCCAAGCTGCTGCTCTGCAGATCCCAAGTGTGAAACAGTTTACTTTAGAGAAGTGGAGATCTTGGGGCAAGAGATCAGAGTCTCTAATGAAGCTTGTAGGTTGCCCTGAGGAGCTGGCTAAAGTGCTGCTGGCACCTGTCCTCTGTGCCACCAGGTACCTGAGGAATTTGGGCCTGACTGGCAAGTGCTGGGAGCCTGCAGCTTAACAGGAGCTGCTGCAGGTGCTTGGCATCTCAGAGTTAGGCCCATGCCCTCACTGCAGCTGGAAGGTCCCTCTCTTTCCCTGTCACGACAGGAGCATAGTTACCTTTGGATAAAACAAGTATCACATCTCCTGCCTGAAACTCCAGGTCTTCGGGCTGGGTGGCTTCATAATTGTACTGTGCTACTACTTGGGTTGCTCCCATCTCCTCCGGCATTGCCTTCTGTGGCTCCTCTGGTAAAAATCCCTCTCCCTAGGGCAGGAAATAAGCTGGTAAAGACATGTCTTGGCTTTTTTTGTCCCGGAATAAGACAGACAAACTCTGCTTAGGTTTCAGCCCCAGGCCCTGTCACCAGAAGAAGCGGCTGCCACCAGCAGCTGTCACTGACCTCCGTGATGTCGCACCACACTGTCAGGCAGTTGTCCTTGCTGTGGCTCCAAGCTGCCTCCATATTCTCCGTGCTCAGAGTCACCAGCTCCTCGCTGCCCACAGGCTTGTACCTGGGCATGTAGAGGATTTGGGTAAGGGTGGGAGACAAAAACACAGCCCCTTCAGCAGGCAGCGCCTCACCTCAGCTGTGTGTGCTCAGGCTGGAGCTCCAGTTTCTTGCAAATGAGGTTCAGGAGCTCCTTGTAGGAGAGGCCTGGCTGGACTTGCATCGCAACTGTGTATTTGTAATGCACCTTGAGAATGCAAGGTGCTGTTTTGGTTTCCTGCAAGTGGAAAACGGGGGTGTCAGAGGCTTCTCCCCACGGGGCTGTGCCTGCTTGCAGCGCAGGGGCTTGCTGTGGGCAGGGAGAGGGACTGGGACACAGAAAATGCTGTCACCTCAGTAAAAGCTGAGCTGTGTGCCATCAGCTGTCTGGGAGCCATCCCTGTTACCATTGGCAGCCTTTAATACTTCTGAGCTAGGCCACCAAAGCTATGTAGCATGTGTGACTGCTTGGCTGCCCTGGGCTTGGCCCAGGAGAGAGCACAGGAGTGCACTAGGTATCTAGTGACCATGTGTGGCTTCCTAGGTGTCTAAATTCAAGGTGTCCCCACTCCCTTCCCCTCCGTTCTTGTCTTCAGTTGGGATTGTTGCTTCTGGAGGAGACCTCCCAGACCCTGATATCTTGCTAGTCCCTGTGTTACGCTTTGGAGAAGCTCCTGAGTGACAAAAAGCTGAAGCACTCCCAGGGCTATGGTGCTTGCAAAGCATGCCAGCACCTCTCCACGTGCAATAGGTGTTGGTTTGTAGTGTAGACCCTGGTTCTACCTTCCCGTGATGCCCACCACACACATCTTACCGCTGCAGCTTCTCTGGGCTGCGTTGTAGCAACAGGAACATAGTCTGAGGAAGAAGAAAACAGTGGCTCAGCATGTGGAACAGGGTAAGTGTTACTGCTCTGGGCATAAATATGTTTCCAGTATTTCTGTAGCCCTTCTCTTTGACACCCATCATTATCTAGCTTAGTGATATGGTTTAGTGGAGGACTTGTTAGTGTTAGGTCAGAGGTTGGACTCGATGATCTTGAGGTCTCTTCCAACCTAGAAATTCTGTGATTCTATGATCTGCAGTGACACCAACCAACCTTGGAGCCAGCTGTAGTCACTCAAATGGAAGCGGTGCCAGCTGTGGTGGGATCGTTACATGGGGTTTAGCAGTAACCACTGGTAAGAGGTTTGGGCTCTGTCTTCCCTGCCTTGATTCAGGTCTGTGCTGTCCTTGCTTTCTCCCTGTGGAGCCTGTCCTGCATTCCTGGGGTAGGAGCTTTAGGGCTGGGATGTTACTCCTGGGTGGACTTCTTTAAAATATGAATAGGTTTGCAAGCACAAATAATGATGTATCTTGTGCTCTGACAGCTGAATGACCTCCAGTACTGGACTTTGTGGACAAAGCGAGAGCTGGCCTGTGCTGTAACATACGCCTCTCCCAGCTGTCTTTCTCTGGGGCTGGAAATTTGCAAAGATGGTGCAAATCCCAGTGCTGACAGCGACCTAGTGCTGGTGATTGGTTGTTGGGGGCTGGAGTGGGCTGCTCTGGGGTGAAAGAGAAGCCCTGTTCCCTGCAGCAAGAGCCTGTGTTTGGGCTGCAGTCTTGTTTCCTGCTGCAGCCCCAGCCTGGGATGTGGGTGCTGAGCAGCATCAGCCAGAAGTCCCCAGGGCACTGGCAGAGCCTCCAAAACTAGCTCAGCACTCTGATAATCCCAGGTGCCCTGCTTTAAGGAGAAGCCTGTAATGATCTTCCTGCTCTGGGACTTGCATAAGCTGGGTCACTTGCCCTGTTCCTATCCCCAGGCCCTTTTTTCCATTAGCTGCTGTGCTAATTAGGAGCACAGAGGGGCCTACACGCTCTGGTTTGCTCCATCCTCAACAGTGCAGTTGCAGCGTTGTCTCCTGCCTTAATGCTTCCCCATCCTTGGTGTCAAAAGGGGCCAGAGGATCTGGAGAACAGAAGAAGCTGGCCCCCAGCCCCGGTCTTGACAGATAGCACTGGCTGTGAGGACACAGGACCGAGAAGACTGTCCCCAGGCTTGTCCCCAAAGTCCTCCCACCCCTTCCATTCCCCACACTGACCTGGTGCTGGCCGACGGGCCTTTGCTGGAGCAATGGAGCTGGGAGGCTCGGGGATCTCAGGTTCAGGAGGGATTTCGTCCTGTGCCAGGTGGGAAGAGGACAGTAATGTCACTCGGAGCCCTCCAGAGGGAGCGGGCACAGCCCTGGGGTGCTCCTGTCTTAGGGAGCTACTCCAGCCCACCGAGCCAGGGGTTTGGGGCTGAGCTCTGCTATGCCAGCTATCACTTTGGGGTGGAACCAGGCAGTTCTAGCCTCAGTGAGAGTAACAAGATGACCGTGAGCCAGAAGCCCCACAGTGTTACAAGAGGGAAGGAGTTGCAGTTTTGAGTTTTGCTAGAGCAAGTGCTGGGTGATCTGTGTGGGGATCTGTCTCCAACCCCCAGGACACCGGCTCCTCCTGGGCTCCTTACCTGGCTGTGCAGCTTGTTCTGGAGCTCCACGGGCTCGAGGTAGTTGCAGGGGACAATCCCTTTCTGCAGGGGTACAGAGACAAAGGAGGATTGCTTTGTGGGAAGGAACCTGCTGCTGGAGGAAGCGACTGAGTTGTCCCAGCCCTGAACATGGGAGAATCCCTGGGACTTGAATCCCTCCTGGTGCCAGCCCCATCATCCACCCCCTTGTGCCAAGCCTGCCCCTGGTACCTTGCCATTGAACATCACTGTGGCCCAGTTGTCCTTCTCTTTCTTCAGGACAAAGACGATGTTTCCTGGCAGGACCTGCAGCTCCTCAGTGGTCTCGGGGATGAACTCGTACAGGACACGGTGCGGCTGCCCTTCAAGGGCCCTAGGTTTGGAAGCCATGTCAGGAGGGGAGGTGATACTGCCGTTTTACTTCATAGGGGACCTGAACTCTGCTTCCTTGTTTCTCTGGTTCGTTCTCTTTCCCCCCTGTTAGTTCTGGGTGCTAGCTGGGCACTCAGCTGTGGTGGCGCGGGACGGGAGCAGACCTGGCTGTGTCTGTTAGCAACACTGCTAACATTTCCTCACCTTTCCTCCAACTTACTTGAGGATTTCTGGTGTCTTGGGCCTGGGTGGAGGACCAGAGGCCTGTGAACAAAAAGAAAGTTGTCTGTAATCTGGCAAATTCTGGTTAGTCTGCAGAAATGGCCTGCAGTCTCCTCCCATTCTTGTCATCCCTACACGGGTCCATGTTGGGTTGGTCCGTTTGCTCGTTCAGATAAGCAGTTTCCAAATCTTCCCCCTCATGATTTCCAGAGGCATGATCCTGGTTTGGTTTTGTGATCTTAGCTTCACATACTCACAGAGGGTTGGAATCATGAGTTAGAGATCAGCTGGTTTAAACAGTGCGTTGTGCTGCTGTGTATCATCCCGTTACTATAAAACGCCCAGCTACTGTCACAGAGCTTTACAGTCCCTCCTGCCTCTGTAACGTAAAGTCAGGTGGATGTTATGAACTCTCTGAAGAAGCTCCTTTTATACTGAAATAGTAAGGCATGTCTGGCTCCTGGAGCAAGGAGCTCTGTTGCATTGAAAGCACTGTATTTTATCTCACGTAACAGCGCTGTAGGCCTGCAGTGGTTGTGCTTCCTCGTATCCTCTCAAAAGACCCTTGAAAAAACTCTGGTGACTTTAACCATGGAAAATTGTTGTTACTTCATCAGGAAAATATCGAGGCAAATGTGAAGAGCTGACAGACCCAGAAAGGAAGACAAGGAACAAAACCAGAACTGCTCTTGCTCCTCTGGTGTTTTGAGCTTAGACAGAGCAGCCCTGAGGAGGCTTGTGGGGCAGGTTCGTGACCTCTCTGTGGGCCCTGCTGAAATCAGTCATCCCACGGTGGGGGCAGAGGATGTGTGACCAGGCCACTACTTCTCCATTCAGGGAGCCAGCGTAACTACAGACGTGGGTGGGTTTGGGCTGCACCTTCTGATGAAGAAGAAAGCAGCTGAGATGTGGGGGCAGCTTCCACCTCATCCTCCCTCAGCAGTAGCAGAAAGTTCATGGTGGTCTTAGAATCATAGGATCATAGAATATCCTGAGTTGGAAGGGACCCACAAGGATCATCAAATCCAACTTGTCTCCACACAGGACCACCCAAAAGTCAGACACTGTATCTGAGAATGTTGTCCAAATGCTTCTTGAACTCTGGCAGTCTTAATGCCATGACCACTTCCCTTGGGAGCTGTTCCAATGTCTGACCAACCTCTGGGTGCAGAACCTTTCCCTAGCACCCAGCCTGACTCTCCCCTGTCCCAGCTCCATGCTGTTCCCTTGGGTCCTGTCGCTGTCCCCAGAGAGCAGAGCTCAGTGCCTGCCCCTCTGCTCCCTTTGCGAGGAAGCTGCAGCCAGCCATGAGGCCTCCCCTCAGCCTGCTCTGCTCTGGGCTGAACAAACCAAGTGTCTTTGCTCTCTGGAGCCCTGGGCGAGGTGTGGGATGGCCATCGCCATCCCCACGTACGCTCAAAGCTACCCACACCACATGGGCTGCGGTGCTGAGGGCACCATGAGTGGGTGGCCAGAGCTTTACCTGTGGTTGAAGTGGAGCAAATCCAGAAAAATCATCCTTGTCCACCACGGATGCCACCACCTACAGCCAAAGGAAAACACATGGTGACTTAAACCTGTATCTGCTCTTAGACCTCTCATCTCTGACACCCGCCCTCCTCTGCTGTTGTCCAAGCCAAATTCTGTGGGTGTGAATGCTCCAGGTTTGCTTTCTGCAGCAGTGCTGGCACCTGGGTGGCTGTTCTGCCTTGCCAGGATTTGAGCCCAAGGGTGCACCCCACTGCTTGGATTTTGCTCATTAGTGCAAGAGAAGTCCTGTTGGATTGTCTGAGCTGAAAAAACTGCTTCAGTGTGAGCAGGGGGAGAACTGGAGTTCACTTGTTGGTGTCAGAGTTTAAATAGCTTCATTTCCTCCCCCACCCCGCTACCCCAAACAAAATTTTTGCCCAGGTTGAAGCTCCAGTGGGACCTTCCGGTCTCACTGCTGAGTGACAGTCCCTAATCTCCCGCTAAGGAAACTGAAAATAGGACTTGCAGAGCTGCACAGATAAAAGTGTATTTCTGCAGAGCTTAACTCTTCTGCTCCTGCAGGGTGCTGTCCCCGGGGTGCAAACTGGTTCCCTGTCACAGTGCCTCACTGGGCATCAGCTCAGCGCCTGGTGGCTCTGAGGTAGCGGGTGGTCAGCAGCTCTCTTCAGCCCACAGCCTTGGCTTAAATAAAGAAGATGCTTCTTTCTTACCATGGCTTTTCCCAGGTAGTCCTTCTTCTCCAGCTGAGCCACTTGCTTTTCATTTGGTCGAAACAGCTTCCCTGGGGGAATTGCCACCAGCTCATAGAGCTTCTGCTTCTGTAGCATAGAGAAGTTGCAGTGCTCTTCAGGGGTGCGATCAGGGACTGTCACACTGCCACCTTCCTTCCTTCTATCTCTGTGGTGAAGGTCTCACTCCGTAAAGTCAAACCATCACTGTGCCAATCTCACCCAAGCACTTCCAGCATCTCTTTAGCCCTGTCTTACCAACACAGTGCCTGAAAGCTCTTCCCACCATTCCCCCTCCTTGTGACACCCATGTCTTGTGCAGCCATCCGCAGTTTTCTCCTGCACAGCTAAAGCTGTAGCTAAAAGGTGTTTTCCCTGCTCCTGGGACTTTCTCTCTCCTTCCTGTCAGACCACCATGAGCAAGCACCCCGCTGTAAGGCCTGCTCCTCCTTACCAGGATAGCTTCCATTGCCCTATCAATCTTGTTGTGCTGGGGCTCGCTCTTCATGGAGGCTGCCAGCGTCAGGTGCTCCTCAGCTTTCTTCCAGTCCTCCATCGTGGCGTACACCAGTGCGATGTTGTAAAGTATCTGCCACAGGGATGGGAGCAAGACCTCAGCTCTTAGAGGCACTGAACCCTTGCTATTTGGATTTTCTGCCACCCTAATAAAATCCCTAGGTAGCACCTAGGTTCCCCATCCCTGTGCCAGCGTGGTTGTTTTTTTGCAAGGCAGGGTGTTTTTCCCCTGATTTTTTTTTCTTTTTTGCCAGAGAACAGGCCAAAAATGCTGGTCAGGCTTTCTCACCTCACAAGCAAAGAGCCTGTACCGCAGCCCCAGGATCTTGTAGTCGATGAGCTGGTTGCCTCGCAGCTGGGCCAGCGCCTCCTTAAAATCCTTGACGGCCATTTCGTGGCTGTGAAGGAGAGGACAAGTTAATGTCTGAGGGCTTCCCCACCTCATACACCACCTGGGCCCCCATGAGTCTTTAATTCAACTTGACTGAGTTTGGTTGGGTCTCTCCCATGGCCTCGTGGTGTCTTCAGATGCCCCAGGAGGAAGTTCCCTGCCTCCTGGGGCTGTGGTTTAGCTCCTGGTCCACCAACCTACCCACAGCAGCTTTCAGCCAAAGGCTGGCATTACTGCAGGGGACAAAACCACAGCATGAACCCCATCCACTTACTTCTGCCTCCTGTAAAAGATGGTTCCTCGCTGGAAATAGGCCACAGCCAGGTGCTTGTCACAGCTGATGCTCTGGGTGAATGCCTGCAAAACGAGGGGCAAGAAGGGAAGGTCTTTAAGGAAAACTGAAGCTGTAGAGTGGCTCTACCTGTCCTGTCTGCTTTAGCCACCTGGCCTAAGCTGGGCTCTGTGGGCAAAGCCTCCCTGCAGCACCAAGGGGTAGAGCCTGCACCAGGCTCCTTGTTCTTAGAGCTGGAAGCATCTGGCACCAGACTCTTGGGTCTGCAGCCGCCTCCAGGAGGGAGAGCGCTGTCAGAAAGCTCCGTGCCTCAGCTGCTGCCTCCATCCATGACTCACTGAGTAAACCAGCTCAGCGAGAACAGAGAACAGCCTGGGGCTGTCACAGCTCCATCCCAGCCCTCCCACCGTGGCGCTCACCTCCTCTGCCTCAGCCAGCTTCCCCAGGACAAGGTGGATGCAGCCGATGTTGTAGCAGATTTTGGCCGGGGGGCTCTGCACGGCCGTGAAGGCATCCAGGGCTGCCCTCCACTCCTTCCTGTCTGCAGCACACACCCCTTCTTGCCACAGCCGGATCGTCTCGACCAGAGACATGGTGCGGTGGGAGCAGGACACGGGGTACCCGGCCACGCTGGGGGACTCGCTGCTCGTCTTCCTCGTTCAACCTCTCCCTGCTCCCTTTTAGCTGTGCTTCTGCCTTTCTGCAGCCCGTGTCGCAAACCTGCCAGGAAGTGGCCTCACTGCTGCCAGTGCAACGCGGCCCGAGATGGGGAAGTGGAAGAGAGGCTGCCCCTGCCGCAGTGGGTTTCCACACAGAGCTCAGCATGTGTCGTGCTGAGCACTCCGGGGGCTCCACTTCTGCTGGGGGAGTTGGGGGGGGGGCCTACATCAAAAGCCCTGCTTGGTGGCAGCTGGGTGCTCTATCAGGTTGGGCTCACAAAGCTGTGTGGTGAGCACTACAGCCCAGAGCGGGCTTTGGGGGCTGCTGAGCCCCAGCAGCACTGTCACCTTGTGGTCACCCCAGTGACACTTCTTTCTGGTTGTTCCATGGACTGTGGAGCACAGCCTGGCCCTGGAGTGTTGCTGGATGGAGAAGAGATGCTCAGCATGTGACAGTCCCAGAGGGAGCATAGGGCTCTGACCCAGAAGGCCCAGAAGGGTTGGGGTTGAGTGCTCTCATGCAGCGTCTAATCCTGGTGCTTTGCCTCTGCCTAATCGTGCGGTGACGCGACGCGCATTTCATAAGAAAATGAAACACGTCAGCAAGACTTTGCCCTCATGTGTTTACTCAGACTTCCCCAACAAACTAGATAATGCCGACAACAGGAGGGAGATTGGGGAGGAGACTTGCTTAACTTCTGCTCAGGGCTGGAAAGAACCTGAGCTGATGAACGATGAGGCCTGGCTTTGAAGTGTGTGACAGAACCCATCCCTGAACCTCGGTTCTCCAGTTGCAAGCTGAGTGTCTCCTCAGCATCCCACTACACCCAGCCAGATCCCATGGGCTTCTTAAAACAACTATGGGCGGCACAGAGCAGGCTCCATGACCTCCAAAAGAACAGGGGGAAATGCAACCAGCCAATGTGGTGGAAGAGAGGGAGGGGAGTACCTGGGTAGGGGGTGTGAAAACGCTCCCAGAAGCCTTTTGTCCTTCCCATGAGGAAGGCCTGCTCAGAAGCCACGTACGTCTCATTTTGAAGAGCTATTTCAATGCTCAGGGGCAGCAAACCTGCCCTCTCTTCTACCCTCCAGGGTTTAGATAGTGGGAAGAGGATGCACTCTGTAGTTGAAGATTTTGCATTGAATTACAGCACCCACCACTCTGGAGATCTGACTCTTTTCCTGTCCCTAACAAACAGTTTTTTTCACAATCCATTTTCCCTACTCTTGGCTCCATTTTCCCATCCAATGTTGTCCTCCTGCTATTGAGCTCCATGGGGCAGAGGCTGACCCCAGTTAGAGCAGACTTCCACAGTTTTGTTAAACCACTGTTGGCTCCTGCAAGGCTCTGACTCACTCTCCCATCTCCTGTGGCTGGGAGATGCCATCTAGCAGGAAATGGTTCACCTGCTGCAGGAATAATTGTCTTCTGGTTTAGTTATCTGCCTCAGTGCACTGGTGGCTCAGGCTGATCCTAGAAACAGTGCAAGGGGGCTGGAGGAGGATACAAGATCACCCATGTGGCAAGTGCCATTTTCCCTTCTGTTTCACAGAAAAATGGAATCTGAAAGGTGCAGGCACAGCAAATGCATGTAGCAACTCCTCCTCTTCTTGATTTTTTTTTTTTTTAGTGTAACATACAAAGTCCGATGTCAAAACTGTGGTAGACACAACCTTTCTAGTAACAGAATGTGTCTCTTGTTCCCCTTTCTTTTACCAACTCTATGTAGAAGAAGAAACTAATTTGTTGTCCAAGAGGAAGTGAATAATGGGGATGGTAACATATCAAAGCCCGGACTCAGCAAGGCTGCACCTCTCAGCAGCACAAGGGCAGCGGTTTCCCTCCTAACGTGCTCAGCTGTTGCAAAAGCAGGAAGGTGCTGTTACCACACACTTCTGCCAAAGCTAAAAGCAGTAGTGAGATGCTCACAAAGAAGGCTTGGCAGCACAAAGCTTTTCTAGAGGAGCTCTCCAAATACCATTCCCCTTGGAGTGGGACCCATTTGTATGTAGAGTATTTTTCAGTGAAGGTTTCCTTCTTGAAAAAGGGATTTTTTCTTCCGTGTCTTTCAGTTTTCCCCTTTTCCTGTGGGTCCCCAGTGCTGCTGTGCAATGTACAACTTGCTGTTTCCTCCTGACCTATGTGTCTCCATATCCAGGTGTATATGGGCATAAATGGGTTTCTTCAAGCTGAGAAGTCCTCACTGCTGGCCTGGAAGATGCTTTTCTCCCTGCCAGGAACCTGCCCATACATCATGCTGCAGTTCTTCTCCAAACAGCTGTGGCCAAGGCAGCCCAGAGTCATCTGGGTAGAGTTCAGCTTCCAACATCATTGGTTCATGAACCAACAAAGCTGATGGAGTGTCTCCAGTACTGGGGAGTCCAAGCTTGCACTTCAGGCTCCACTTTGTAAGCAGGCAGTGGCAGCGCGTGCCCAAGGATCTGGGCTCTCACCTGGAGGCAGCCACACCAGACAGGAGCAACAGGAGTGCTCCTTAGTAAGCTGCCTTCTCCTGTTTCAGTTAATAGCAGTTAACAGAAGCAGCTTTCATGCAAATCTTGCACTCCTACCTCCACAGCAGTGCTTGTCAAGTCATCCTCTTTTAGCACACCCCTGAAAATATAGGTGGAATAAGCATGCATATTATTAAAAATGCTTCTATATCCTTCTATCGGATACTTTGATAGGGAATCCAGGAAATGTTAAGATCATTCTTCTCGTTGCCTTTGTTTATCTAATACCCCCTAGAGGTAGCTGGCTTGCTTTGGCATTGGTTGTTTCTGAAAATAGTTTATTCTCTCCACCCCAAATTTGGACTAGTTTGCAGAGAAACCAGTCTCCAGAGCTGAATGACAGAGGTACCCACGCTGGCTCTTCTACGAAGGAAGCGGAGGAGGTGGAACAGGAGGAAAACATCTGAAACTGCCTTCTTACCAAGTCCTACGCAAATGTGGTGCATCAGGACACTTTGGTTTGGGTATTCCAAAGGTACTAGCTCTGGTTTTCCAAAGCAATGACTTGAGTAACAAATATGAGTTGCCCTTCAGATGTCAGAGTGCTCACCAATAGTTTTCTCTGTATGCTTCAGGAGTTCAAGGTGAATACACGTACCATCAGCAATGACACACACACAGTCATCCTGCCCACTGGACAAGCCCAGGACTTTATATTTGCTTCAATTATTAAAACTAACAATTAAACATTTAATCTCTTGGAGATGGGGTCAGCAGAAAGACAAACAAAAGCCCAGCCATGGTATCAGGAGTTTCACCCACACAACAACCCTGCTAAGCCATCAGTTTTTCCTCTCTTGAGGAAGCACCTACCATTCACAGTTGTGATGGTCCCACTCCCTTGGTAAGATTTTAGCGTAGGCAGCGACATCTCTGGTAGTCCTGGTTTGGAACATTTTGGGGTGTTTAATATCTTCAAATAACTTAAGATTTTTTTTTAGTGGGATGAAGCTGCGCACATGTATTGATGTTACTTAAAGGGACAAGTAACTGCTATAAAGCAAGCTTAGCCAGAAAAATAAGGAAGGGCTTACTTTTTAACTTTTTTTTTTTTGTCAGTCCTTGAGTAGCCAGCCACCTGCTGAATTAAAAATTAAGTTAGTTGAACGGTTAACTCCAAGGTATTTCAGACTCCAGGTAAATATTCAGTGACAATTTATTTGTCTGGTCTTTATTGTTATTAAAAAAAAAAAAAACAACAACAACAAAAAAGCAGATATCAAAAAATAGCAAAGGTTTCACAAATTCCCCAACAGTTTTACACAACTGAATTTCTGTAAAATGGTGAACATAAAACGTGTTTACATCAGTCCTGGCCCTGACCTTCAGTGGTGATCTGTGGTCTGGGACACCCTGGGCTTTCTTAATTCTTTATAAAATACTCTTTATTTTAGAACTTAATTTGCCCACTAGCTAACGCACTGTGGTACAACAGGAATGTTAACTGTCTGGTACCCTTAAAATTGTATCTAGAAAACAAAATATGGGAGCTTTGCAAGGTTGGTGTAGACACCAGTGTTTGCTTCTCAGATTACCAGAGGCAGCCACCACGTTGTGCTTGAGAGAATCAAATCACATTCAAGTTGCTGAAAGGTGATTTGCTGTGTGAAAGCTCCTTGTCTTCTCCTGTTTAGGATCTTTACTCCCCAAAATAGAGAGTTCACTGGACTGGGCTCCAGTGTAAATGGACCATCAACCCTTTAAATTCTACCATCCAAACTGCAGGACAGGCACCTTTATCCTGTGTGACTTTCCCCCTGGGGGCCTGGTGTCTGATGACAAGACTTCAGAACTGGCCATGAGATGTGAGGTTAAAGAAAATACTCAGCTTTTTGGAATGATGATCGGTCAGAAGGGAGCCATTGTATTCTGTCCTGTTCACTGCTGTAGGTTCAGAGGCTGACCAAAGGAAACGTGGTCCCATTACCTACACGAATAGCTGCTCCACTTCTCAAATATTTATCTTATGTCAAGCCACTGCCTGGCTAGTAAAAAAGAATTAAGACATTGCCCTATGTCCCTCAGCTTTTGTTTGGAAAGTCAGGTCCAAATCTGCCACAATTATACACAAATGCAAATCATCCTAAACACGAAGTTTTATATGTAGCTCCATACATGCCACTGAAATGCTTGAGTACCAAATATTCCTGTTAGAAATAAAATTGCACCTTCATAATTTTCCAGAGTTTAACAAGAAGAGATCACGATATGCATTACTTGTCAGGTATGAAAGAAGCAGTGAGAAGACAAGCTGAGAGACAGACACTGCCCACAGGGCAGCAATGGCATTGAGTTGGTTGGGTTTTGCACCAGCATCTCCCCTGCCACAGATGGCAGACAGCTGCTCCCTGCTGGAGTTAAACCGTTTTCCTGGCAGTCAAAACGCGGACAATGGACCCCACTCCTCCTGCAGCCAGGGCCTGAGAAGAGAAAAGAGGCAGTTCTGGGTCAAGGTGGCTACAGACTGAAACAACTGCTGCCAGGAAAGACCTCCTGACTGTATTTCAAAGGAGCATCTCCCAGAACTTTACATCAAAAGCAAAACACTAGCACCCAGTGTAGCAGGGAAACATAACCACACTTGTTTTAAAAGCTTATTAAATAACTGTCTTTATCTCCCTGCATAACTAAATTGCAAATTTTGCTTCCCTCTAGGAAGGAAATTCTACTTCCATCTGCCTGAATC